AGTGTGCGGAACAGCGACTGGCGAAGCCGATTGGCGATTCGGACTACGGCGAGCTGTGGCGGACTCTCATGGACACCGCGCGCATCGGCGAGCTGGTTGCGCACAAGTCGGCGCTGTGGTCGCCAGATGTCGACAAGTTCAAGGTCAAGGGCGCAGAGTCGCTTGAGGACGCGCTCCAGAAGCATCGCAAGCCCGAGTACGACTGGAACAAGATGTATGCAACCGTCAAAGCTGACAATGCCACGCTCGGTATGCTGTACCGGGTGATGTGGGCAGGGATGACGAAAGATCGGAAGACGGCGATTGGCTTCCGTTGGCTCGCCATCTTTGGAACCAAGTTTGGGTACTCGGACTCGCCGGTGGTGAAGGACATTGTCGAGGCGATCAAGAGCCTGTGGCGGGTGGGCGAGCTGCGGCGTGCTCGCGAGGAGGAGCAAGGTGGGAGCGAGGAGCCAGCCCCGAAGCGGAGGAAGGGCCTCTAACTGTCGCGAGCCTGCCAATGGCGTCGCAAGTGTATGGTGGATGAAATTTTCTGCTGATTTAGTTTCTACCGGCGAGGGGGTGAGAGGGAGGAGGGGTATGGAGAGGGGGATACACCCACCCACGTCTCTCTGTAGGGGTGCTGCTAGGTCTTCTCTCGCTTGTCGGCCATAATCTCCTCCTTTCTTGCTTTCTTGCCCATACCCCCCCCCCCCCCCCCCTCCTCAAACACACACTGTGCGACCTATAACCATAGTTGTGCCGCCTTCTCGCCGGACATGCCTGGTGCTCGTGTCGTCCGTGACCCACACGACCAAACTTCATCCGGCCTCTTGTCAATGGAAGGCGCAATCAGCGCGACAATCACATCCGACACGCCTATACTTCTCGTAGGCTCACCAGTGTATTCTTCCGTAGCAAGCTCGGGCCCAAACTTGTGGTCGGATTGCGGCGCGTTTCTTGTTTCTCCGGGAGCCACGCCAAGCTCTTCCCAACGTCATTCAACGCCTGACCTTGAATTCGAGGAAACAGCAGAATTGGCGACCAAATCTCACACCGATACGGAGGAAGATCTACTCACGACTCCTCAGCCGAGCTGTTTACAGCATTCTTGTGGCGAGAGGCAGACGTGTGGGCAGAGGACCTGTACCGAGCTGGTGGCCCAGAACTCGGAGTTCTGCACCGATCACAAGTGCGCGGTGTGTGTGGGGGGACGGGATGGGGGCTCGGAGTTCTGCACCGATCACAAGTGCGCGGTGTGCAACAAGCGCGGCCCGGTGTGTGACAGGCATAGGTGCTCGGTTGACGAGTGCACACGGCTGGGGCTCTCCAAGTGTTTCACGATTAAGAAAAAGTCGCGGACAGCTTACGGTAAGTATTGCGGCTTGCACATGTCGATGGTGGGCGACGGCCATCCAGTGCCAAAGTTCAACGGCGGATCGGTCTTGATCCGCGAGTGGGGTGGGGCGATCGGGGTGTGGATTGAGAAGCTCGAGGCCGCCGGCGCCAACCAGGTCAACAGCAGGGTCAAGCTCGAGGAAGTGCTGGAGGAGAACCGAGAGCTGATGGAGCGGGGGGTGACTGTCGACGAGCTGCTGGAGAAATACGAGCCGCTTTGGCGCCAATGGAAGTACGGTGGTGTCGCCAAGAACGAGGCATGGATTGAGATCGTCACTCAGGCCTCGCAAGACGAGCGGGTAGCGGTGAAGGGCTGGAAGAAGCGAAAGCTGGTCAATGTGCCCTTGAAGCCGCATCCCCGTAACAACAAGGGATGGCATGGCTGCTTTTACTTTCAGCTCTGGGAGAAGCGCAAGGGGTCCAAGTCGAACAGCACAACGTCGAGCACGAGCAGCATGGCGACGGGCGCGAGCAGCGCGCCAGCAGGCGAGAGCCGTGCCGTGACGGCCTCGAAACAGCTGGAGGCGCTCAAAGTCAAGGTGGCGGGGTTTGGCCTGCGAGATGAGTTCGTTGCGACCAACAAGGTGGTGATCAAGTGGCCGAACAGCGTACCGCAAAACTATGAGAACAAGCCGGTGTGGATCACGGATTACGAAGACCTTGTGCAGAAAGTCAGGAAGTACGAGAACAGCACCGGGATGAGGCTCCACCCACCAGCGCCAATCCGGCTGTCCAGCATCGGTAACATGGACAACATCGTTGGCATTGCCAAGGATATTGGTCTCTGGGCGACGGACCCGATGATGGCCGAGCTGGGACTGGAGTGGAACACAGACCTGTTTCCCGAGCCGGAAAATGACGGTAGACTGGTCAGTGTGGCGTACCAGAGCCGTCGGATTATGGCGGTGATGATGGTTGTCTACGGGTTGCAGGAGGTGAGTCCGAACGGAGCAGACGTCACAAGTGGCGAATACCGGGAGAGCTGGCGGGCGGCGCAGATGCCGCCGACGACGATGGAGGACCTTGTCAGGTACGGCGCGGTGAAGCGGAAAGACGACGCCCCAGAGAAACTCCAGGAGGAGCTCTGCGCGCACCAGGATTGGCTCGATCTCCTTCTTATGCTCGACATGTGCCGGTCGATGATGATCAACGAGCTGCGGAGGAAAGTGGTGACGAAGGTGCACTTGGACGAGACGCGGCTTTCCTTGTGGCTGCGTCTGGCAGCATTTGCCTTTGGCTTTGACTGCGCCAACTGGAACGGACTTACCGGCGGGATGTTCGGCACAGGCACGTACGTCCCGTTCTGGACGACCAAGCTCCCGCAGCCGTACGTGACTCTCATGCTCATCACACACAAGAAGGATGAAGACATGGAGCTGCTCAAAAGGCCGATTGGTGAGTCGGAGTACGGCGAGCTGTGGCGGACTCTCATGGACACCGCGCGCATCGGTGAGAGTATTGCCCACACGTCGGCGCTGGCGTCGCCGGGCCTCGAAACCGGCAAGTTCAAGTTCAAGGACCCAGAAAAGCTGAAGGATACACTCGAGAACCATCGCAAGCCCGCGTACAACTGGGCTGCGATGGATGCGGTCATCGACTCGGACGACACCAAGCTCGAGCAGCTGTACCAGGCAATCTGGGCGGGGATGCCGAAAGATCGCATGACGGCGATACTTGTTCGCTCACTCTACGTCTTTGGCAAGCAGCTCAAGTATGACGGGGTGCCGTTCATCGCCGTCCTCCAGACGATGCTCGGCAGCCCGTGTGAGCCGTCGACGACCAGTCGGCCGCGGCAAGTGGCGCCGAGCACGAGCGAGGTCAACGACGAGTCGCCTTTGAGAAAGCGGCCGTGCGAGGATGAGAACGTTGGAGGGTCGGACGCGAGAAAAAGCCATCCAAGAGGCGGAAGGGCAACGACGGCAAGCGGACGAGGCCGTCGCGCCGGAAGAAGGGCAAGGAGGACGCTGAGTAGCCCATGTCACACCTGCGCTATGTAAACAAGTGCATCAGAGCCTGCTCAATCGTTGATAGCGGATCAATTGGTGGTGTAATTGGAGAAGAAGCCGCCGAGGCCGATGCCGCCGTCGAGCTCAACAAGGCCGACGAGGAAGCTGGGGAGGTGGACGCAGCCGCCTGCCGCTGCAGGCACCTCAGCCGCCACCAAGCAGGCGGTGCCCGGGAGAGAGGCAGCAAGCACGCCCTGGACCATGGCCTGGTACGCCGCCACGTCTTCGGTCTCGTACTCGGGATCCTCGCCGAGGCCGACGAGGGCGAGCTCGTGGTCACTTGCGGGCCACGACAGGTGGAGCATCGAGAGCGAGGCAAAGTGGGACGGCGAGGCACCGAGCGCAAGCGCAAGTGCAGGGAGGACAGCCATGGTCGACGCCTCGACGCCTGCCTGGTTCAGGAGCTCCGGCGTGAGGACGAGCGGGAGCCATGGCTGCGAGAACATCGAGTCGAGGTAGACTGCCGGTTGCGAGGCGAGGGCGGCGGCGAGGGCGCTGCGGGTGGCGACGGCGGTGCTGCCGCTGCTGTGGCTGTCGTGATCGACGGCGGCATGGCTCTCCCGGTCCCACACGCCGCACGTCCACACCTCCCACGCCCCGCTAGTCAGCCGCTCTCCGCCGGCGATCCAATGCGTCCAGTCTGTGGTGTCCGGGACGAGCTCGAGCGGGAAGAGGCGATGGCAGGAGCCGGCGGCGTTGCGGGCGGCAGCATCGGCCGCCGCCGCACGCTCGGCTGCCCAGTACGACTCGGAAGCTGCGCGGTCGACGGCAGCTTTCCTGGCCTGCTGGGCAATGTCGCCTGCGCGCGCAGCCTCCCGATCGGCCTGGGCAGCAAGCTGCGCGCGCGACGCCGCCATGCGCTGCTCGACCGAGAGCCGGCGCCAGCACGAGGAGCAGTAGCCGGACGTCCCGCCGTTGAACGAGCACCCGCCGTAGCAGGCGATGTCGGTTGTCGGAATGCCGGCAGTCGCCTCGGCGTCGGTGAGCGTCTTTTGCCGCTTGGGCGCCTCGCCGGCGTCGTCGCTTGCGACGCGCTTGCGAGCGCCCGGGCGGAGGGTATCAAGCAGCTGGACATGGCACTGGCCGCCGGGTGAGGCCAAGGCAACATCGACCACCCGCAGAGAGTCATCGTTGAACTCATCGAGCGAGAACCGGCCATCTGCAGCATAAGCGGCGACAAAGTCGCGGACGGCGTTGTCGGCATGATCTGCGCCGGCAGCGGCCAGGAGCGCCCGGGCCTCGCCGAGCGTCGTTGTCTCGTCAATCGGAAGAGGCATCCACATTGTGGGAACTCGCGGGATTTGGAGACCGATGTGAAAGACATGGCTTGACATGATGAGGAGACAAGGGGGTGAGCGAGAGAGATGGCGCGGGTTGGCCGGAATTTGTGTCGAGAACGGCCCGGGTCGGTTGTCGAACGGGTGTTCTCAAACAGCGCGTCGCAGCCTGATATGGGCTGAGAGAGACAGTAACAATGAAAGTCGCAAGCTCGCCGGGATGCACTGCTTGCGCAACATACAGATTGTGAGCTGCGGGATGTGATGTGGTGTGTGTGGCGCAGGCGCGCGTGATACGTGGCATCGGAGCGGGAGGAAAAGGGGTGGCGAGGGGCTGTGCGTCCGAAAATCGGCGTTCCTATCCTCCCAGAGACACGGCGGCACAAAACGGCGGGCAAGAGCGGGCGAGCAGGAGCAGGCTGGGCAGGCACACACACACTAGTGAAACCCTCTCAAGTACTCATCATGGACGACGACGTTGCTGCCCTTGTTGTTGACAACGGCTCCGGCATGTGCAAGGCCGGCTTTGCCGGTGACGACGCCCCGCGCGCCGTGTTCCCCTCGTACGTCCATTTTGATGGGAAAATTTTTGTCCTCCGCTCCGCACCGCCACCCCCCGACTCACGCATAGCCATGGCCTGCGCAGCATTGTCGGTCGCCCGCGCCACCAGGGCGTGATGGTCGGCATGGGCCAGAAGGACTCGTACGTCGGCGACGAGGCCCAGTCCAAGCGTGGCATCCTCACCCTCAAGTACCCGATCGAGCACGGCATCGTGACCAACTGGGACGACATGGAGAAGATCTGGCACCACACGTTCTACAACGAGCTCCGCGTCGCGCCCGAGGAGCACCCGGTCCTCCTCACCGAGGCGCCGCTCAACCCAAAGGCCAACCGCGAGAAGATGACCCAGATCATGTTCGAGACGTTCAACACCCCGGCCATGTACGTCGCCATCCAGGCCGTGCTCTCGCTGTACGCCTCCGGCCGTACCACCGGCATCGTCCTCGACTCGGGTGACGGCGTCTCGCACACGGTCCCGATCTACGAGGGCTACGCGCTCCCGCACGCCATCCTCCGCCTCGACCTCGCCGGCCGCGATCTCACCGACTACATGATGAAGATCCTCACCGAGCGTGGCTACTCGTTCACCACCACCGCCGAGCGCGAAATCGTCCGTGACATCAAGGAGAAGCTCTCGTACGTCGCCCTCGACTTTGACCAGGAGATGCAGACCGCTGCCTCGTCGTCGTCGCTCGAGAAGTCGTACGAGCTGCCCGATGGACAGGTCATCACCGTCGGCAACGAGCGCTTCCGTTGTCCGGAGGCCCTCTTCCAGCCGTCGTTCCTCGGCATGGAGGCCGCCGGCATCCACGAGACCACCTACAACTCGATCATGAAGTGCGACGTCGACATCCGTAAGGACCTCTACGGAAACTGCGTCCTCTCCGGCGGCACCACCATGTTCCCGGGCATCGCCGACCGCATGCAGAAGGAGCTCACCGCCCTCGCCCCGTCAACCGTCAAGATCAAGATCATCGCCCCGCCCGAGCGCAAGTACTCGGTCTGGATCGGCGGCTCCATCCTCGCCTCGCTCTCCACCTTCCAGCAGATGTGGATCTCCAAGCAGGAGTACGACGAGTCCGGCCCAAGCATTGTTCATAGGAAATGCTTTTAATCGTACAACAAAGCTTTAAAGCGGTTTTTGTCTTACCCTTTTTGCTTGGTAGGGGTGGTTGGCCATGCCGCGGTGTCCGTGTACAGCGGGCGATCTTGATCCGAATCGATTTTTTGGTGCGCGTTGCGGCGACGGCCCAGCGAAACCGACCGCCATCGCAGCTGTTGCTGGGCTTGGACTCGGGCTTGGCGACCGGGGGGGGGCAAGCGATGCTCCTTACTGCGCCAAGAGCTCCGCTGGCGTCGACACAGTCGGCGAGATGACGACGAGCGCTCTTTGGGTGCCCCATTCTTACTTTGATCATGGGTGTTCGCGAGCACAAGCGGTTTTTGTCTTACCCTTTTACCTTGGTAGGGGTGGTTGGCCATGCCGCGGTGTCCGTGTACAGCGCGCGATCATGATCCGAATCGATTTTTTGGTTCGTTTTGCGGCGACGGCCCAGCGAAACCGACCGCCATCGCGCGCGAAGCAACGAGACCAAGCAACTGTTGCTGGGCTTGGACTCGGGCTTGGCGACCGGGGGGGGCAAGCGATGCTCCTTACTGCACCAAGAGCTCCGCTGGCGTCGACACAGTCGGCGAGATGACGACGAGCGCTCTTTGGGTGCCCCATTCTTACTTTGATCATGGGTGTTCGCGAGGACGCGGCTGTAGCTCATGCACACGCAGGTCACCGTGCCAACCGGCACAATGTGCTGGCATAGAGGGTCTGGCCATCAAACCAGCGCATTGGCCGGCCAAGTCGGCAACCGAGAGTGTGCCGGGAGACAGCTCGAAATTGGCGCCGTGCCACTGCTCGCTCCGCACTCGCTCACACCACACTCACACACTCACACACTCCACACCGACAAGACTTCACTCTGCGCACTCCCGTGCTCCTTCCCCAAGTGCGCAGTCTACGTGAAGCAAGAGCCCGTCTCCCCCCCTCTGCTGTTCCCCCCCGCCTCCCCCCTCGTTCCTCGCTCTGCGCATGTGGGTTGCCGTTACGCAACGTTGCTGCTTGAGTACGGTCACGATGACGATGATGGCAATGGTTGTCATGGTCACACTCACCAGCACACTGGTGGTGGTCAAGGGCCAGACGACGCCGACCATTCCTCAGTGTATGCCAGAGCTGCAAGTGGTGAGGAACGCCCTGACAGTCTCCGCCTTTGCTGCTCGTGACGTGGCTGTGGGCGATGTGTCCGGCAATGGCTTGCCGGATGTGGTGGCGGCGGCCGAAAATGCCAACGCTATTTTTTGTTTCCCATGACTTCGCCGGGAGTCTTCTCTCTCCCGCCTGTGACCATCCAGAGCTCTGTCTCGGAAGCGAGATCGGCGACTCTTTATGATTTGAATAGTGATGGCAACATGGATGTTGTCTACACTGCTCCGGGCTCCAACTCGGCGGCGTACAAGCTGAGCACTGGCGGAACATCGTTCGGCGGTCAGGTCAGTTTCCCAACTCCGGCTCTCACCGGAGCGTGTGCTGCTGCAGTGGCGCAGCTTGACGGCTCGCTTGGCGCTGATGTGGTTGTCTCGGCGCCTGGTGCGTCGGCACTTGTCTGGTTCGCCAACAGCGCGGGCCCGGTCGCCACGCCGTCGTTTGTGACTCCTGGCTCGTCGGTGGATGCGTCGGCCATGGGAAGCGGCGCGTGTGCGCTCGACTCGGGAGATTTTGACGGCGATGGTGACGTTGACCTGCTGCTCGGCGGAAGCGTTGGCGGCGGATGGTTCGCCAACGACGGTGCGGGCACCTTTGCCCCTGCGACCATGCTCTACACCGGCTCGGTCGGCGCGGTTGTCGCCGGCGACGTCGACGCCGACGCCGACATCGATGTGGCCATCGGCTCGGTCGGCGCCGTCCGGGTGTACGTCAACCCGGGCGACGGCAGCTTTACCGTTGTCACGCTCTCTGTCCCGTTCTCGGCCGTCATCACCTCGCTCGACATGGCCGACTACTCGGGCGACGCCGCGGTCGACATCATTGTCGGCTCGCTCACTCCGTCGCGCATTGGCTTCCTGGCCACCGTTGTGCCGGGCGTCTCGTTTGCGTCGTATCTGGACATCTCGACTCAGGCCGACGGGGTGACCGCTGTTGCCGCCATCGACCTTCTCAACGACGGCGGCGCCGTCGATCTCGTCTCGGCCTCGGTCAACGACGACGCCATTGCCACCTACACCAACGCGCCGCTGGTGCCCAAGTACGGCACCGCGCGGGTTGTCTCCACTGCCGTCAATGGCGTGTACTCGGTCGCTGCGGCTGACATTGACGGTGACGGCGATGTTGACATTGTCTCGGCCGGCGAGTTCTCCTCGCGCATCGAGTGGTACCCCAACGTCGACGGCAGCGGCCTCTTTGGCCTCGCCAACGTCGTCACCCAGTCGGCCTCTGCCGCCCGCTTTGTCGTCTGCGCTGACCTCGACGCAGACGGCGACGTCGACATCGCCTCGGCCTCGTCGGGCGACAACACCGTGGCGTGGTATCCCAACTCGGACGGCCGCGGCACCTTTACCTCGCGGCTCATCATCTCAGCCGCGGCCTCCTCGGTCCGCTCGCTCGGCCTGGTGGATCTCAACGGCGACGGCGCGCTTGACATTCTCGCCGCCGAGCGCGGCGCCAGCCGCGTCGCCGCCTACTACTACCTCGGCTTTGGCGCCTCCTCCTCCGCCTTCTCCGCCGCCACTGTCGTCGCTACCGGCGTCGGCGATGCCATCGACGTCGCGGGCGGCGACATTGACAACGACGGCCTGCCCGACGTTGTCGCCGTTGCCGAGGCCGACAACAACATCGAGTGGTTCAAGACCCTCCCCGGCGGCATGTCGTGGGGCGCCCCGGTGGCTGTCGGCACCGCAATTGGTCCGCGCGCGGTCGCGGTCGGCGACCTTGACGCCGACAACGACCTCGACGTGGCGGTGGCGGCGACCAGCGGCAACGAGCTGCTCTGGTTCCGCAACGACGCGCTCGGCGCGACCTGGACCACGACGGTGCTCGACTCGGCGCTTGACGGCGCCCGCGATGTGCTCATCGCCGACCTCGACTCTGACGGTGACCTCGACGTGGCCGCCGTCTCGCTCTTCAACGACATTGTGGGCGTGGTCTTCAACAACGGCGGTGGCTCGTTCGCGCCGCTTGTGACGGTCGATAGTGCCTTTGACGGCGCCATCACGCTTGCTGCAGGTGACGTCGACGGCGACGGCGATCTTGACCTTGTCTCGGGCGCCATCTCAGTCGACACCGTCGCCTGGTTCTCCTTCCTCCGCCGCACCTCGTCGTTTGTCTACGCGCCGGCGTCGCGGGCGGTGGCCATCGGCTCTACGCCGACCACGCCGGCGTGGTGGGATTGCCAGCGGTCGTCGGTGCGGTGCCTTCTCGCCCACGCCTCGTCGGCCTCGCGCTGCGTCACCGACACCCTCGTCGTCCCGCCGGACACCACCTTTACCACCTGCCTCGCCGACGGCCACGCCCGCATCACCTACCCGCTGGTCGTCTCTTCCGCCTCCGGCGCCACCATCAACTGCTCCGCCACCGGCGGCGGCGTCCTCTTTGACGTCGGCCCGCACCCGCTGCCGACCGTCCCGCTCGCCGGCGCGCTCACCCTTGACAACATCGATGTCATCGGCATGACCACAGCCGCCGCCGCCCTCGACGGCGCCCCGGGCCTCCGTGTCGTCGGCAGCGGCGCCTCGCTCACCCTCCGCAACGCCACCGTGAGCGACGCGTCGTCGAGCTCCGGCTCGGGCTTGGCCTCGGTCCGCGCCACCGACATCGGCCGCGGCGGCGCGCTGCTCGTCGCCTCGGGCGGCGTTGTCGACGCTACCCACTGCGTCTTCCGCAGCAGCTCGGCGAGCGAGCACGGTGGCGCCATCGCCATCCGCGACCCGGGCTCAAAGCTGATGCTCAACGAGTCCCGCGTCGAGGGCTGCTCCGCGCCGCGCGGCGGCGGCGTGTACGCCTCGAGCGGCGCGGCCGTCTCAAGCGCTAGCTCCTTGTTTGCCGCCAACAGCGCGTCGCTGAGCTTTGGTGGCGGCATCGCACTCGAGAACGGCGCCCACGGCTTGCTCAGCGATGCCAGCTTTGCGCGCAACTCGGCAGCGTTGTGCGGCGGAGCAATGTATGTGACCGACACCTCCGAGCTCGCGGTGAGCGAGTCGAGCGTGACCGGGAACACGGCGCGGTACGGCGGCGGTCTGGCGACGGTGGCGGCCGACTCTGTGCTCTCGCTCGAGTCGGCGACGTCTTCGGCGGACGTGGTGGCGGGCAAGCTGCCGCTGGCGGCCGACTCGCGCAACACGACGCTGACGAGCGTGACCTTTGCCGACAACAAGGCAACCAACTACGGCGGCGGGATGTTTGCCTGTGGCGCTGGGTTGGTCATCGGCAACGGCGGCACCAGCTGGGCTTGGACCGACAACACCGCCATCGACTCGCTGCGGGCGGTGCCGTCGGACGTCTTTGTCTGCGCCGCCACCAACGCAGCTGGCTCGGTAGTGCTTGGCAACCGCGACTCTGCCGAGGGCGTGTTGTGGACAACCTTTGCCGACAACACGTTTGCAGCTCTGAGCGGGGCGGCGATCAAGGGTCCTGTGGCGTCGCTGGCGTGGGCGCCAGACGCTGCGCCGGCGGACGAGGTCCAGATCGGTCTCCCGCTTGTGGGGCAGGTCATCGCGACCGACGTGCTCGGCAAGCCTGTCGTCGACGGCCGGGTCCCCATCCGCATCGCCTTTAGCAACACCGGGCCGACGGTGACCCGCGGACTCGACACCGGCGTGCTCAACGGGATTCCGACCACGACGCCGCCGGCGGCGGTGCGGATCTTCAACTCGTCGGTGGCGACGACGCCGCTCCCGATGACGTACACCTGGCAGCTGAGCGTGGTCACGTCGGCGGCCGGCGCCATTGCCGTCCCGCCGCTCACCGGCTCGGTCGACCTCCTCGGGTGCAAACCTGGGCTCGGCGGCGTGGTCGAGCCGGACAACGAGGGCGGGAGCGAGGATCTGAGCTTCTGCCGCGAGTGCGCGGCCGGCACGTTCTCGACGACCAACGGGACGCTCGGCCCGTGCGATCCGATTGTGCCGTGCACCGGCAACGCGCGCAACATCGGAACCGAGCGGGTGTACAACTGCGTGTGCAAGCAGGGCTTCTACCTTGCGCGGGTCCATCCCGAGCGCGGGCGCGAGTGTGACAAGTGCCCCGAGGGCGCGATCTGCAACGAGGGCCTCAGCGATCCGCTCCCGGCCAAGGGCTTCTTCCGCACCTCGCGGACGTCGTTTGTGCGGTGCCGGCGGCCGGCGTGCCGCGGCGGAACGCAAGGGTGCGCCACCGGGTACGAGGGCTTTATGTGCAACGCGTGCTCCAAGAGGTACTACACCAAGGCCGAGTCGTGCCTCAAGTGCCCCGACGGCGACTCGGGCGCAGTTGCGCTCACCTTTATGGGCGTTGTTATCATCGGCATCGGCGCGGCGCTCATGACCCTCCTCCCGCTGTATAAGGCCGGCAAGGCCAACGCCGAGCGCGGCGCTAGCGACGACCCAACCGCGAGGCCGAGCGGACGCGGCTCATCCCGGCCACCATCTCCATGGTCCTCTTCGCCTTCCAGGTCGTGGGCCTTATCTCGGAGACCAAGGCCGGTTGGCGCGGCGAGTCCAAGGACGCAACCGAGAGCTTCCGCATCTTCAACCTCGACGTCAACGCCTTTGCGCTCGAGTGCGAGGTCACCGATCCGTACGTGCTGTACTTTCTCAACCTCTCGCTCCCGCTGCTCCTCTTCCTTGTCTCGTTTGCCACCGTGGTGGGCCTCTGGCTGGTGAGGCACAAGGTGCCCAAGCTCGCGCTCACCTATGGTGATGCCTCCATCAAGACGCTCTTCAACGTGACGCTTGTCGGCGTGGCGCCGCTGCTGCACATCCCGCTCTCGCGGGCCGCGCTCTCGCTCTTCAACTGCGTCAAGCTCCCGGACGGCAACTTTGTCCTCGCATCCGACCCGTCCGTGGTGTGCTTCAAGGGTGGGTGGTGGTCGGTCCTGCCGTTTGGCATCGTCGTCGTCCTCCTCTGCGTCCTTGGCCTCCCGGCCTACTTTGGCCTCGTCCTCCACAACCGGCGGCACAAGCTCTTCCGCGAGATCGTCTTTGTCCGCTACGGCGGTCTGTACAAGTTCTTCCGCGAGCCGTTCTACCTCTTTGCGGTCGTGGCCCTCGGTCGGCGTCTGCTCATGGTGATCACCGTTACCTTTGCCGGCGAGCTCCCGCTCCTCCAGCTCGCCCTCCTCACCGCCATCCTCTTTTCGCAGCTCATCTCGTCGCTCGAGGCCGAGCCGACTTTTACCTCACCTACAACGACACCGAGGCGCGCCTGTCGGCGGCCCTCATCGCCCTCACCCTCGTGGGCGGAGCATCCTACGCCGAGCGCAACTCAACGACCAGCATCGTCACCGCCATCGACGTCTGTACCATCACCGTCCTTGCTGCCATTTGCCTCATCGCCGTCTTGTCGCTTGGGACCGAGATCTTCGAGATCGTCCGCGAGAAGCGCGGCGAGTTCTCCGGCGAGATCGAGCGGGCCCACCGGCTCGCCACTATCCTCACCAAGGAGCTTCCGGACCTCGAGCCCGACGTGGCCACCAAGTTCAAGGCCGCCATCGACTACTCGCTCCGCGATCGGAAGGCCACGCTGTCGTCGTCCGTCTTTGAGGGGCCGGTCGAGCTGGACTACCTCGACTTGGACGAGTCTGGGTGATTTGCCTCGAGCCGCTGGTGACGGCCTTCCTTACTTGCCTGCACCTAATCGTCCTCGCCTTGGTCATTAAAGCGGCCCATCGACGTCGTCCAACTACTTGGTGACGTCAACGCTTTGGCGGTAGGAGAGGCGTCGCAACGGTGATTAGCTCGGCTTGGGGTGCTTGATCTGCTCCGTCGCATGCGACCATTCACCAAGGCCCCTCTCCAAGCCACTCTCACCCTCCCTCTCCCGGACACTACACCGATCGTTGTCTGACATCCCAGCGCTATCACGCACATGCAGGATTGAGAGAGGAAGCGATTGTTGTCGTCTGACCGGAGCGATTGCCAAGAGAAAGAGGGGGACAGAGGGAGAGAGCCGCGACATGGGCCATCTGCCACTGAGCGCAGATCGGAGGAGAGGGGGGGGGGGGGTCACTCGCTCGCTCGGGCAAGTGCTGGAGTTCTATGTCGCGTCATGTCAACACCGTGCTCTCGCCGCCGTTGCCGTTGCTGTGAGACGTTGTCTCAACAAGCCTCGTGGCGCATGCGGTCATCGCCACTCGCACAGTACCACGGGGAGAGCGTCGCGGCGTAGAACTAGCGGCGTGCTTGGGAAGCGGCGATGGCCTCATCAAAGTGGAGGACGATGCTAGCGCGGTCGGCCTCGAGAGCGGTGGTGATGGTGGTGGTGTGTGACAGAGAGCTGTGCTCGGCGGGGAATCAATGTGTTGGCCACCTTTGCACCGATCTCCATGAAATTCAGCGTGCCAGTAGTACACTGCGCCTCATGGACATACGCAGCGTGGTATTGACCAAAGTGGTGGCATGCGTATAGTAGGAGGGGTCAAAGGTCAGGGACAAACGCTTCCCGAGCGTCCTACGCTCGCACCCCGACACTTACAGCGCCCAAGCTCCAGAAGCACACTAGCTACATAGCTATCATGATGGTAGGGGGAGGGGGCCTGATCAGTGCCCGCTACGCAGTCGATTCCCTGCCACCCTTGGGTGCTGATCCCGCCCAGGCAGCACCCAAGTCGCTCGACCACCACCACTCCCAAGAGGCATGCAAGGACGCGCTCGGTGAGACGCGCCGCCGGAATGTATACGACAGTATTCATGTGCCTTGGGTTGTAGGCAGTTGCGCTCTGGATGCCGTGTGGCGGCAGACGGCGGCGTACAAGGTGCCCTGGCGGTGGACGGTGACGGTGGTGCTCGTTTACTACTTCAGCTTGTCACGCGCAGCGGTGTCCGCTCCGCGACGGCTTCGCGAGGCTTTGCTACGTGCTTGCTCTCTGCACATCAACCGTCCCTCCCATCAAGCTCTCGGGTGCACTGCAGCTGTTGCGTCACCCAGCTTCCACTGCGTCGCCAGCCAGCACGGCACAACCGCGCGCAGCAAGGCAGCGCGATCCCGTCGCGAGTACAACTTGGATGCCATTGCAAGCCATTGCTTTCATCCACCATGGCCAACCCCTACCTCACCGCCGAGTCGCGACGGGCACTGCGACGGCCGGCTCGGACATCGCATCGGTGACTACTATCGTCGCACGCTTGCACTGGTGTGACGGCCCACACGCTGATGAGAAGGGGAGGCGTTGGCGTGCGCGCAACTAGACCAAGGCGCGCGACGGTGAAGCAGACGCTGCAGGCGGTGGTGATGGAGGCGGGCCGATGTATGCAAACGCGCGCAACGTGGTCACCATCTTGCACGGGACTTTCATCGCGTCCACCCGCTCGCTCAACGCCTACCGGAAGCGGCCAGAGGTGCTTGCCGAAACGTCGCTGCATCGGCTTATTCGCGAGATCCGGATCTTTGTCTCGGGCGTGTTGCCGTCGGCTCCCGCAGTTTCCCTACACGGTCGGCTACGCTGCGGCGCATCACAAAGCCTCCACGCTGCTGGGCGTGTTTTACTGCGGCATCGCGTCGCCCGCAGACGATGTCCCGGCGGCGGTGTGGGCGCTGCGGCACACCACGAGGAGAGATTTGAGCCGTAGGACTAGCGGCGTGCTTGGAAGATGGCGATGGCCTTGTCGACGTGCTGGAGGATGTTGGCGCGGTCGGCCTGGAGGGCGGCGATGTTGCCCGTGGCGATGGTGACGTGATCCCTGACGTCGGCGAGCTCGGCCTTGGTGTCGGCGAGCTCGGCCTTGGTGTCGGCGAAGTCGGCCTTGGTGTCGGCGAGCTCGGTCCTGGTGTCGGCGAGCTCGGCCTTGGTGTCGGCGAGCTTGGCCTTGGTGTCGGCGAGCTCGGCCTCGAGTTTGTCCACGCGAGTGGATGTCCCAGCAGAGGCGCCTGCACCGCCGCCAATGTCGCCACCGGCAGCGATGGTCTCACGGACGTGGTCAGCAACACGCTCCGGGATAGAGCTTGTACCAACGATGAGGTTGTAGACTTCTTTTGCAGCCGCGTTGGTGTCGCTGCCAGGCTTGTTGAGCACAGCCGAGGCAATTGACATGGCCGTCTCGCCTTTGGTCCCGAGAGCCCACACATCGGCACCTGCGGCGAGCAGTGCCATGGTTGCGAGGATGTTGGAGGGCGAGACGGTGACGTGGAGCGGGCGCAGTTCAAGGGACGGCTCGAGGGCATTGATGTCGGCGCCGGAGTTGATGAGGAAGGCAAAGACTGGGATGGAGAACGGGATTGTGTCTGCGGCATGAAGGACGATGAAGAGGGCGAGGGTGGCCTTGTTGATGCCGCTGGTTAGCTCGGTGGCGCCGTCGCCATGCTCGCGGATCCAGGCGACCATCGCAGATGAGAACACTGCAGATCGCTCCACGGGAGCAGCTACGTACACATGCGTGTTGTCCGGCTGCAGCGTGAAGGGATCGAGACCAACTCCGCCCAGCTCGGCCATACGCTCAGCTGTCAGCTGGTTCGCGGCGATAATGGTGTCGAGCACAGTGGCGCCGTTTCCGTCGACGGCAGACTGGTCGAGGACGACGTCGAGGGCGGCAACTGCCTCGAGGAGAGCTTTGAGGGCACCGTGATTGGAGTGAGCAAAGGCGACATGAATGACGGGCGTATTGAACGTGGGTTCAACAGCGTTGACGTCTGCACCAGCGGTGATGAGCTCGGAGACGATGTCGGCTGAGATCGGGACGGTCGGTGAGGCGCGGAGGACGACAAAGAGGGCGAGGGTGGCCTTGTTGATGCCGTTGGCGAGCTCGGTGGCGCCGTCTGCGTTGGCCTGCAGCGACTCGATCATGAGGTCGACAAAGACCGGCGCAGACGCGGGAGCAGCTACGTACACGTGCGTGTTGTCATCATCGAGATCGTAGAGGTCTGCGCCGTTGGCAAGCAGCGTGTTGAGCGCGCTGAGGGAGAGGAGGTTGCAGCGGTCTATGGCATGCACCGGATGGGGCACATGGGCCTGAGCAACGTCAAGCAATGCATGGGCGTGCTGCGATGCAGGGAAGTCTGGTTGGGCGATGGCAGTGCGTGCGCGATGCAAGTCGAGGGTAACCTTGGAGCAGTTGTTCAAGTCGAGGGTTGTGAGGTTGGGGCAGCCACCGGCGAGGGCGACCACTGCCGCATCGGTGATGTTGGAGCAGTTGTTCAAGTAGAGGGTTGTGAGGTTGGGGCAGCCACCGGCGAGGGCGACCACTGCCGCATCGGTGATGTCGGAGCAGTTGCGCAAGCCGAGGGTTGTGAGGTTGGGGCAGCCACCGGCGAGGGCGACCACTGCCGCATCGGTGATGTTGGAGCAGTAGTCCAAGTAGAGGGTTGTGAGGTTGGGGCAGCCACCGGCGAGGGTGACCACTGCCGCATCGGTGATGTTGGAGCAGTTGTACAAGTTGAGGGTTGTGAGGTTGGGGCACATCTCCACCACCACCATGGCCATGGCGTCGGTGAAGGACTGGTTGTACTCCGCCCTCACCTCGCCCACGCCCACCCCATCCCCCAGAGCCCTCCTCACCTCCTCCACTGTCCTCGTATTCGTCACGTTCACCACTCGTCCAGCACCATTCGCAGCCATACTCCTCTCCACTCTGTCAGACAGAGAGATATACCCTTCCCACCTTCCGCATACCCCCCGCCACCCACCCACTCACACAGCCATTCGGCAGACATCAAAGCCATCCAAAAGAATTTGACTCTGATCGTGTCAGGCAGGATCACAGCCCCCTCCACCGCTCAGACACCCCCACCATACTCATTGCCCACTTGTATATCCTCCCGACCACCCTCTGTACACCCCCATGGTCCCGTATCATCCATCCCTCTCCATCGTCCCCTCCCGGCACTGTGACGTCAATCTCGGCACTGTGACGTCGTGCCCTTCCCTGCCCCGTCTGCCGGGAAGCCCTGCCACCACCCGCCACCGCCCGCCCCTTCCGCCCGCTCCGTCGGATGGGTCACTGCCTTGATCACCTTCGCAATGGTCTCGCTCTTCCCTCTCCGGGGCATGCCTCTCCGTCGGCCTCTCTCCAACCCGTCCTTCTGCCAGACGTCGTCGATGACTTCTGCGGACATGCCCAACACGCTGCTGCGCTCGTGGGTGTCTCGATCAACGTCTGCTGGCCACTGCGCCTCGGTCTTGCCTATCTTCTGCTGATGGGCTGGTCAGGCTTGGCCGGCCGATCGCCGGGGTGGGTCACTGTGTCGATCGACGTGATCCAGCAGGCAGAGATGGCGAGCGCGATAGATGCGAGGACATCTCGAGCCGTCAAGCGAGCGGAGCGATCGGCTGGTTGGGAGCTGGAGATGGCCGAGCGCACTTGGTACAGGCACTGTGAGATGCCCGATCTGTCCTTGAGCTCGGCTGATCGATGGGGATCATGGTCGATGTCGAAGCTGGTGTCCCGCGTGAGGATGGATGAGGTCGAGCGCCATGCGGCTTGAGTCTGTGGTCTGTCTCGGCAATCACCAGAACCGGTGCGATGGTGATGGGTACTACATGCTATGCGACTTTCACATCTGCTGGACGTGTGCCTGTATGAAGGACAGCATGTTGTGGGAAAGTGCGGATGCTGTGAGGCAGGTGGGGCAGGGGGGGGGTCTCTGTAGTGATGCCG